CTGAACTCTTTGCACTATTGAGCCCGGGCCTTTTTCCTGTCTCGCCGCTACGCATATGGGTCTTTTTCTGCTCTCCTGCTCCCCACGGTTAGTCCCTTTGGACGTCCGTGACATCAGAGAGCGGACGTGGGGAGCCCTGGTGCTAGGCGGGTCTCAGGACATCCGAACGTCAATGCTGAGCCAGGGCAGAGTGCAAGTATTAAGGTTTGAGACCATTTTTTCAAAGCTTCATGGTCATCGCAGTCCTTTCTGCCATCACCATGCCATATATACAGTACAACATTTGTTTTGTGAAACCAAACATTTTCAGGCTATAGCTTTTCACATTACATCACTTTAAACCATGGTTTCACCTTTTTGCCCTTTAATAATTGGTATATAGATAGATAATACAAGACTTTCTTCTCTTACATAACTCACATTATGGTCCTGTGTACAGCCTATAGTACAGTTTGAACATGTTATCATGAATCTTTAGAGCTTTTTAGTTAATGCTCACATGGAGGAAATACATCAGTAAGAACAGAATGTATATTTGTACATGTTAATGATCCTTGACAGAACTAATGAAATCTAAACCAATTAAATTATCTCTTGATACCACAGAGGCAATAAACTACTACAGATTCTTAATGTAAAACAAAGAGGGTTACTTTCATGCTCCTGTTCCAATTTTTATTAAGAAATGCTTTAAAAATGCTTTTGATTTTATTAGACATGCCTTTAGTGATGCAGTTCAAATGTTCATCCATAGTTCATAATGATTCTTCCAGCTCTTGCTACTGTATATTTCAGTAAGACTGCAGTGGCAGCTATACGATTCTGAGAGGCATTGTAAATGGTTTTAGCATATGCTTTGATTATTTTCTCTACCAGAAATCAAGGTGCTTTGTGTTGATAATATTGCACTTGTGTCACATACTGTATATCCATCTTTAGGAGCTGATAGAAGTCTTACAATATTGGAACAGAACCAATGGTCAGGGAGTATATTATGTTATAGATGTTCAAATTATTTTTTCTTTTATTTTTAAATGACTTTGTTTGACAATATTTTTATTTTATGGCTGCTTTAAATTAGAGTCTCCATCTGGCCCCCAGATCAACTTTCACTTTTTGGAAATCACTGGACAATTTCAGACAGGATGAGGTTTTCACCTTGCCTCTAAATAAAAAAAATATTAACACATAAGCTGAACATTAAATGTTTGCTACATGGAAGATATTTAATTATCACTAGGCAGCATTGACATAAGTGCAGTATTGTACTTACTCACAAACTTACTGGTGCCCCTTCCAGAGTGTATCCTGCCTTGTGCTCCTTGCTTGCCTGCAACCCTGAACTGGATAAAGCAGTTAGAAAGTGGATGGATGGATGTCTGCTCAGATGGGAGACTAAAAAACATGCTTCCAAGCTCTGTTCTACATCCGGAGTTTAGTTTTTTTAAACCTCAGTTTAATAACGCACCTTAAGAATAGGAAAGCATTTGCAGGCATTACAATTTATTAATTAATTCTGAACAGCATTGAAAAGTAATCCATAGAATATAATTATGCTAACTTCCAAATGTATTGTGTTTTTTGTTCAGTTGCGTATGTGGGCTCGTAAAAGTGCTGTCCGGAGTGGTGAAGTTGACTACGCTCTAAATGTCACAGGACCAATCTTAAAGCACTTGGAAGAGTTGCTGAATGTAAGTTATCCACTGTCAAAAATAGGTGAGTATCTTTAAGTGATCTAGAGCAAATGGTATACTTCATTTACACTGTTCTTAACAAACAGATTTTCTGTGAATTTCACAGCTTTAGAAATTGATTGTGCCATTTTAATTTATAACCAGAATAGGAAGAGTTTAAAATATTTTAACGTACACATATCTGTACCTGTCACTTGACCCAGTTAGTGCCAGGCTTTTTAGTTATTCACAAGAATGAAATCATCCACTGTTTGGTTAAGGAATATCTTTTGTCTACTGTCTTTACTATTAACAGACTAATAATCATAATTATTATATTTTCTGAATCAGAGTTGGGAACTGCTTTAGCCAGTAGGTTGCAAAGGAAAGAGCAAAGGTAATTCCATACTGCAAAGTAAGACGAAAGTAATAAAAACACCAGTTGTGGTGTCTTGAGGCGTGTATGGAAATGTGGGAGAGAGCGAAAATATGACGGTAAAGGGACACATTCCGGGGGCAATGTGGAAGGCAGAAATCTTTAAATGAAGGGATATTTAGAAATAAAATAATCACATCTTGGGAACCGAGCAAAGATGTGAATCTTTAGAGATCTTCAGAATTGATAGATTTTTACCTTTCACATTTATCTTGAAATTTAACAGCAATATTTCCTTGAAAGAAAGGCAGGGTATAGTCTTGAACGGTGTAGCAAGATGGCTTGTTCAATAGTGTGTAAAGAAGAGCCTCCTGAAGTGTGTTTTAAATGTGCTTCCTCAAAGCTTCCACTTTTGACCTGTTTTTGGAATCTATTTCACTGATGATTGTGAAGACATCTGTTGGTTTGACTTTGTAAATACCTTTGAGGATGTTGAATATTTGGATCAGATCTCCCTGTAGTCTCTCTGTTGAAGAGCAAGTTTGATTCTTTTATCCCGTCAGTTTAGGAAATTCTTTTAAGTACCAGAATGTCTCTGGTTGCTTTTCTCTGGACAAGTGCCAAATCAGCAATAGTTTTTGGAACATGGTGACCAGAATTATACAAAATACTCCAGATATGATCTTAGTTGTGCATTGTGCACCTAACTGTTTTTCATTTAAATAGGCTCTTCAGTATATAGTTTACGTTTTTACTACAGTATAGACTACTTGTCTATATTTTCTGCTTCCATAGTAATTGCTAACCTTCCTATTTTGGTATTATCTGCAGAGTGGTTCTTTTTCATCCTGAGTATTGGGTGTTGTTATTCCTAATGAACTAATAACAATCTAGTTCAGGTGGGTAGCTGCGTCAGCATGCGTAGGCTGCAAAGGAACAAGTAATGGGTTTATTCCATGGTGAAAAGAGAAGAAAGAAAACACAATGTTTCAGCTCACACCTGAAGAAGGCTCCACGGCCAAAACGTTGTGTTTTCTTCTCTCTTCAGCATGGAATAAACCTATTACTTGTTCCTTAATAACAATCTGTTTGTCAGTGGTTTTGAATTAAGTGGTGACTTTCAGGAGTAGCTTTTAAGTGTGTCTGATTACTTTCTGTAATCTGAAATAAATTTGTACTTTATTGTTATAATTTGAATTTTTGGACACCAAAAAAGGGGTGGACGAGCTGTGTGTGTGAAGAAGAGTTATTCCATGGAACAGGGCCTCAGGCTGACTCAGGCAGGTTCAGGAAACTAATGAACATATGTTTCTTTGATATTGTCAACAGCAGATGCTAGCAATTTGCCTACCTGTTTAGTGTGATGTTTTGTTTCTATGGTTATGTTTTTCAATCCTGCTTCTCATTGTAATAAAATGTAATAAAATCTCTTTGCACTCCATCACTATGTCTCTTTCAGACCCAATTCGTCTCCTTAGATTATATTGTTCATTATCCTGTTTCTTCCTTGCAAGCTCTCACTGAAGTCTTGCCTGCTTTCTACTGTCCATTCGTTGAACTTCGCAATTATCTCTCCTCAAAATATGCTTCTCAGGTATTTTGATTGATCAAATTTTTTTAGATGCAGCTCCTCTCAAGATTACAGTTTCTAAAAATCTGCATTAATGTACAGTATTTGTGTTCTCTCATATGGAGAGAATAGATGTGAAATTTAGTTCAGGAGAATGAATACTAGTTGGAATACTTGCTACTCAGTCTAGCTTCTCTTACATCTATTTGTTGTTCCTGCCCTGGAATCCTGTTTGCATATCTGATATCTCTTTTTTCTGCATGTTTTGATTGTAGGCCACAATCTGTTCCTCATTGACTTTTTCTACAGTTTCACTCAGTATCTTTTTATATGAAAAGTAATTGTGGATACATTATCAAACATATTCTCTCCTTCCTTAAAACCATCAGTGGTTACTTAAAGTGTAGTCCCATGAGTACTGTACAGTACATCCCCCAAATACCATACAGCATAGATGTGCTAACACAAAAGTTTAATGTTGTTCATCATCATTAATTGTAGAAACATAATTCTCGCACAAAGGAAATTTGCACATCATGCTTTCGTTTTCAAACTGGTGATGAACAGGCAGAATAAATGCATTTTTTTTCATTCAAAATCAAGACAACAGGTTTTGAAACCAGAGGAGATCCTTCACCAGTCTCCTAACATCAGCTTCAATGAATTCCATGTTTTCACCCCAAACCAAATCACGTTTTAGAGTTCAGATTGACTTTCATTGTGGAATAAAAATGAATATGTTGTATAACTAATTCCAAGTGATTAGTGTCCAGTTTTTATATTTCTGATCTAAACTGTCCTTAACCTGCACCTCATCCCATAAACTTTATAAAAGAGCTGCACTCACTTCCTTCCTTGGCATTGGATTAAAATTTCCATCTATTTTTTCATCTAAAACTTTGTTTTACTTAGCTTGTGCTTTACTTAGCTTGAGGGAAGTAGGGAGGTTAATATAAGATTTAATGATTTAATGAGAAGCTTACATATTAATATGTTTACATTTTTGTTTCCTTAGACATAGTTGCAGTGCCTGAGTTCTTTCCGGGTGCAATGGAAAACTGGGGTCTCCTTCTTTTCATGGAGGATGCATTGTTTTATAATCCTAACATTCATTTTTCTGATAGCAAAGTGTCCATCTGCAAAATCATTGCACATGAGCTGGGACATCAGGCAAGTTAAAGATTACTGTTCCACATCTGTCTCAGGTTCTCTCCACAGATGTAGTTTTCTGGCTGTGGCACAAAAATAAAATAAAAAAAAAATGTCTATACTGGTTTTGATTAGTGACCACAGCAGTGAAAGATATGCAAGCATTAAGTTTGTTTTGTTGTTTCTGGCACACAGATATGTTCTATTATCCCCTTACTCCTTTCTCATCATTGTTATGCTACCTTTGTATGAAAGCCATGAGAGTTAAGTGCTGTTACTAAATTACGTACTGTATCCTATGTTTATTTTATAGTGGTTTGGAAATCTAGTTACTATGAATTGGTGGAATTTCATATGGCTTAATGAAGGATTGTCAACATACATTGAATCCACCATTCCGTCTGAAGTGGAACCTCAGCTGTATGTGGTAAGTTTGTTGTTGAATATTAATTTTCTTTTCTCTGAGAGAAAAAAACCCAAACATTTCACAAGAAATCTGTAGTGGCTGATAAGCTTCCACTTTTAGTGCGCTTCCATTAAATTACCCTCCCCAGACTTTAAGTCGTCTTTCAATAAAGAATAAAAATAACTTGATTTAAAGTTTGCTTATTCCAGTTAATTACCATAATTTTCCTCTTATATATTTACCTTATTAATTTAAAAGCACATTAAAGGAGATACTGGACAGAAGAGACTTTCTGAGATTCGATTCAATTTTCCTTTTACCATCAAAGGATTTGTAATCTCAATAATTTAAAGCCTCACAGACAGTTGCAAACTATTAACTATCAGAAAATGTATTAAACTACGGTCATTATTCAACTTTTGTTCTATTGTTGCACACTGAGACCAGATGAAAGATCAAATTCCAAAACAGTTCATGCATCTCTTCTCATCAAAACATGTAATCTAGTGCCAGCGTATCTGAACGAAAACACATGAGTTCACTTAAAAACTTGAATCAGCCACTTCAACTGTATATATATTTAGAAATGGGTCCAAGGCCTCACTAGGTCAATTTTGCACAGATGATCTAAGCTTGTAAATCATCCTGCAGATACCTTACCTCTACATTGACTTGACACACATTTTTACTTCAATAGAAGGTTATTGCAGAGGAAGGAATGTTTCTTCGGGAAAACCCAAGGTGGATAATCATTGCATTGTCTATTCCTTCATGATTGTTTTTCACTGGGTCTTCACTTGCCACAGATTAAGTTTATGTAGTGTTATTTTTCATTTGAAACTGAAATTATTTTAATGGTGTGTCAAAATTGCAAAAGAAAAAAGTAGATACTGTAGTTCATGTACATGTGATTAACTATGCCGGACATTTCAATATGTTTCTTCTTGTTTTAGGAAGACAAATTGGTCATCCATGATTTGCAAAGGATGCTTCTTACAGATTCAATACAAATGAGTCATTCACTGGCTGTTAAAGAAAAAGATGTTGAAACACCTACTCAGATAATGGGCCTGTTTGATTTAGTGACTTATTCAAAGGTAAAGTGGCTGCAGAAAATATAAAGTGATACTGGGTTTTTTATCTAAATGTAAAAATACGTAGTGTAATAGGTTTTTCCCTAAAAATAAGTAGCATTGAAGAAAAGCTTTTCTTTTCAAAATGAAAATGTTTCTGACACAGAGCTCTCAGAGATTTTCTTTATCTTTTCTATTCTGAAAGAATTCCACAGTTGAGCTCCAGGGCTAGGGTTTGATTAAACATGTTAACACCTTATTATCACAGCTCACTATTCAGACTCAAAGGCCACAAACTCAAGGCATTATTTGTGCTGTAATGTGATTATGGATCTACTATATATGTTTCACCAATCCTCCTCTCAAAGATGGACTTAACACAGTGTCCATAGAATAATTTATCACTGCTTCTACTTCTATGCCTACAGTAGTCACCTCTACTTCCTGTCTAGGCCTGAACAAAGCCTGACCTGTAGTTGAACTTGTGGCTATACACGAATCCATGTAATCTACAGTATATACACTATCTACACAAAGCTAAACCAAACTTTGTGTGGAATCCCAGATGATAAAAGACTTAGTCTACTTGGAGACTTGAAGACCAGAGCTGGAAAAGATGCCAGTTTCTGAAATGGAACCACTGGAAAGGATTTACCAAATGCTCATTGCATAGATTCATCATCACAGACACTTTGAGAAGTAGATGCAAAACATACTGGCACTTCCACGGTATAAATATTTGCACATAATTTATCATTGTCCATGTTGTAATTTATCCAGCCTGTAGCTGAACCTGTAGCTGCCTCTTGCCCATCCACTCATAAAATCTACTGGGTCTCTGTCTGCTCTGCCTCTCAGCTAAAAGTGCCCCACATCCTGTTGCCTCCATTCATCCTCTCACAGTGCTAGACACTCCTCACCGGTCTAGTTTCAACATTGTCCAACATCGTTGGCATTTCGGTTGCTACTCGCCTCTCCTCACTGCCCAGAGAGTGCAACCTTCATCCTGTCAGTTGTGTAGCCATGTCCATGCCTCAGAAGTCACAGGCCTCATTGTCACCAGCACCACAGCCTGTCTGCTGCTTTGACAAAAGTCTGTTACTGGTGGTGTGCTGCTTCTGCTGCTGGTCTCTTTCTGTTTACCAAGGACCTACAGTATAATAGTGTTGATGTTCCACCTTGCAGTAGTACATGGAGAAATACCCCCTCAACCAGCTCACAATCATTATACAGTATATCAAGTCAGTTCCCACTCTACAAATATGTATGGAGTAACAAACCAACCCCTAATTCACATACTCTATATAGTTTAAACAGGTGACACACAAACTGCACAAAATGTTTTAACACAAGAGCAGGAAAAAATAGCTTTATACTATAAAATTAAGTTACCATAGCAGCTTATATACTATAGCAATTCTCTCTATTGCCTTGCTTCACTGCTTCTGTTCTATGATGATAGTCCTTGCTGGTAGTAAAATGCAATATTAAATGAGTGTGGATATTTTTCAAAAAGGTGAATTCGCTTCCTAAATGGGTCCTATTGTCTTGAATCTATGGCTAAGTCTATTTCCTCTTTGGAAAGTTGTTACAGCTGACAATGACTGATAGCATCGCATGAGA